TAGGTGTCAGCTGAGACCTTCCTGCTTGGAGATCTGTTTAAATTGGGCTCAAATGCAAGTTCTGCAGATTTCTCCCCTAACTCCCCACAATTCCCTCAAGTCCTCAAGATTTATTTCTACAAGTTTCTCTCTGTCTCTAAGCTTCCAAGCAAACAGAAACAATTTCTCTTCTGTTTCATATCTGCTTGTTTCTACAGAAAATCTGCTCCCATCATTTTGTTCTGTGCTGTCCAATATGGTAGCCACTTGCCACATAGAGCTGTTTAAATTTAACTAATTAGAATTAAATAAAGTTTAAAATTCAATTCCTTACTCACCTTGGGTGCTTGATGGCCATATGTGGCTAGTGGCTACCTCATTGACACAGCAGATTGGAGCATGTCCATTATCATAGGAAACTCTATTGCACAGTTGTACCAGCATATCATGGATTGAAGAGAGCTTACCGAATATTTGTGGACATATGGGAAGAGGTTACTTTTGTTAAAATCAGAAAATTTACTTTGATCTAGCAGGATGTGGTGGCTCATGCCTGTAATTTCAGCACTTTGGGAGACCGAGGCAAGAGGATTGCCAGAGCCCAGGGACTCGAGAGCAGCCTGGACAACTTAGCAAGACCTCATGTCTATAATACATTAAAAAAAAAATTAGTCAGGTGTGGAATGTGCCTGTGGTTCCAGCTACTTGGAAGGCTGAGGCGGAAGGATCACCTGAGCCCAGCAGGTCGAGGCTGCAGTAGCCACGATCGTGCCATTGCACTCCAGTTTGGGTGACAGAGTGAGACTCTGACTCAAAAACAAACAAACAAACATAAATAAATAAATAGAAAATTTACTTTGATCTCAGCATTTTTTTTTTTTTTTGAGTTGGAGTCTCACTCTGCTGCCCAGACTGGAGTGCAGTGGCCACTCCCGGCCACCGCAGCCTCGACTTGCTGGGCTCTGGCGATCCTTCTGCCCCAGCCTCCCAAGTAGCCGGAATTACAGGCACGCGCTACCACGCCCGGCTGATTTTTTAATTTATTGTAGAGATGAGGTCTCGCTGCCCAGGCGGGTCTCGAACCCGCGGGCTCAGGCCATCCACTCACCTCAGCCTCCCAAAGGTGCGGGATGACAGGCTGAGCCACCGAGCCCAACTGATCTAAGCATTTTTAATCACCCATATCTTTTCAGGCATGCGTCATCCCTCTGTCAAGATTCACCAATGATATATTTCCATCTGGAGGACCTAGGAAGCCAGGATGAAGCATAGATGAAGGTAATATGCTTCAAGTGGGCTGAGAGCCTGTATTCTCCCGGGAGGGCAAGGGAAACATTTCTCCCTAAGAAAGAGGTACACGTCTTCTCCAAAAATATAATGTGTAGCTTTTCTCTGTGGGAAAAAGAAGATATGAGTGAGCTTGTTTGTCCCTTAGAACTTCTCAAAGGAAATGCCTAAGGAGGAAAGGGGCGGGTTTGAAAACAACTCCTCTTCCTCAGTTTGCTGATCAGTTGAGCCACGAGAATTCGCTGAGCATAAGACTGCACAGATGAAGGAGGTGTGATCCCTGAGCTGAAGTAGCGTAGTGAATTCTCAGGTACACAGGCAGGAAACGGAAACTTAAAGCACAACTATGGGATATGTCAGCACAAGGGCAGGTATCTCAGCAGTCAAAGAGCAGAACAAGGAAAGACTTCCAAAGGCATGTTGTGAACCCAACTGAGCTGAGTCATTGTGGTAGGACAGGGACCAGGGCGGGGTTCTTCAACTTCTTCCCATCTCCTGCCCCTTTCCCCCCACACCTCCACCCACACGCCCGGATCCTGGCCCTTAATCACAGTCAGTGTTTTCTGAACTGATTAATTAAAAGACGAATAAACATGCCCAAATGAGGAAAGAGAAGAAGGGCGTCATAAGCAGGAAAAAATGACATGAAAAAAGGCATGCAGGCGTGACCTTGGATGGGATGTCTCCGGAAATACCAGCAGGGGGTGTTGGAGCACAAGTTTGAGCGGCTGGAACATCCAGAAAGGAGGGAAGAGTGACAGGAGCAGCTAGACTTGGAAAGATTTTCCTGCTATGCTGAAAGTTTGGGTAACAATGGACCTCGACTGTAGTATTTCATCATAAGTGCAATGACATCAATTTGCACTATCAAAGGAGTACTCTGATAACACACATACTTAAATTAACATTTTCTAATGACGTTTTCATCTAATCACCACCAAATCTTAGAACGTTGTGAGTTCATTCCAAACTCTCTCTAATCTCAATTATTATCTGGTATTTTAGTTCCTGTTTGTATTAAAAGTAAAATGAAGTTAATATTAATTTTACTCTAAGCATATTATTCAATACAGTCAATACTAATTTCTTAATTGTAACTTATGTCTTTCTGCTGGAATCATTTTATTTTATTGCTGAAGAACATGATTGAGCAGTCATTTCGATGACTCTATGGATAACAACGCTTCTGAGTTCTTATACTTTTAGCATGTCTTTATTTCACACTCATCCTTAAAGATCGGATGGCTGGGTATAAAACTCCAGGTTGAAAGTTGCTTCCCTTTGCACTTTAAAGGTAGTATTCTAGAGTTTCCTGGCTTCCGTTTTATTGCTACAGTGTGTGGTAGATATGCTTGTCTTACATTGCTCACAGGGATTTTGTTAGGATCTCATTTGGTGAGTGACTTAATACAGTGCCATTCTGATCCTTGCTACTTTGTAGATAATCATTGCTGATTTGTGGCTTTTAGGTTCTTGCTTTCTAAATTTCATATGTGGTGCGTCTACATGTAGAAATTTGTTTTACTAGTCCTACTTAGTATTCAGTGGGCTTTTTTGATTCAGATATTTCTCAGATCCCTCATATTCTTAGATCCCACAGTTTTATGTGGGTTCTATCCATGCCCTCATTTGGAGTTAATCAATGAGAGGGTTCAGTGAGAGACCTCTTAAAGTCCTATGAACCTCTGATTCTCTTGTCTACTTGCCTACTTTCTTTTCTCAAGTCTTAAAATCTTTATAGAGTGGCATGAAGATCACAGAGTGAGGGTTGACATCGGTGGTAAAGCAGAGGGGACCCACCTAATCACGTACTTTGTCAAAACTTTTCTGTCTTACATCTGGACCTGCAATTATGCATTTAAAAGGATTGGAGTTGTCTGTTCTCCACTGTGCTGTGAAGCAATGACAATTCCTGTCTGGCTGCCTAAAGGAAAAGGAGCTTGTGTTAAACTGGTAGCACAGAAAATTCATCTGGTAATACCAGAATTCATCTGGTAATACCATCCTTCCATGTACAGATTAGGAAACTGAGGCTCAGAGAGGTTCAGCAGCAAGCCCAGTGCTACACAGCAAGTGGGAAATAGAATTAGGACCTGAGCCAAGAGCCATAGGAAGCCAAACCTGTGCTCTTGCTTCCCCCAGAGCCTCATCAGGATGGAAGGCATTCTCGAGAATATTCTTTGCAAACCATGAAAGCATCCCTTTCTCAGGTCCTACCAAGAATTTATGCACAGGTTGGAAACATCCAATGACAACGTAAGTAGCATTGTTAGAACAGCAGTGGGCTGGGAGCAAGGAAGCCTGGCTTCTGATACCTGCTTCACCCATAGCTAACTGCAAATTAAACTCGTCATGTTTTTCTGGGCCTCCGTTTCCTCAACAGAAGAGCAAATGAGTGAGATTTGATAATGACCATGTTACCTTCTAGACTCACCGTTTCCAGGCATAAAGTTCCTTTACAGACTTAAGTCTGTGGTTGAAGGTTAAATGATCTCTGGCACTACAACTTGGTTTAATCCCTTGCCGTCTATACTAGAAAAGAACATCTTATTACCCTTTCCAAATCAGCACTTTTCAATAAGACTGTAATTCAGACTTAGATTTAAAGTCAGAAGGCCTGGGTTCAATAGCCAACGCCCCCACTAGCAAGCATGGTAAACTGGGGCAGGTTTCCCATCTCTCTTAACATCGAGTTTCGGCCAGGTGCGGTGGCTCAGGCCTGTAATCCCAGCACTTTGGGAGGCCGAGGTGAGAGGATTGCCTGAGCCCAAAGGTTTGAAACCAGTCTGAGCAACTCGGCAAGACCTCGTTTCTACAATACATGAAAAAATTAGCCGGGTGTGGTGGTGCACGCCTGTGGTTCCAGTCACTTGGAAGACTGAGGCGGAAAGATCATCTGAGTCCAGCAGGTTGAGGCTGCAGTGGCCGTGAGCATGCCGCCGCACTCCAGTTTGAGCGACAGAGTTAGACTCCAACTCAAAAAGAAAAAATCGAGTTTCTAGAATGTGTATTGGGGATGCCTGTCCCACACTGCTGGCAGAGATTTTGTTAGGATCTCATTTGATGACTTAAGTAAAAACACTTTATTGTAAAATATTCTATCAGTGTAAACTGTTTTGACATATTTTCCCTGCATTAGAACAAGATGTCAGTGCCTTGTTCTACAGAAGAAATTCAAGTAGTTGAGATCTAAGGAACTGATGCATGCTGGGGGAGATGAGACTGGTGTTTTCGTGAGGAAAATGTGTGTATGCACCTCAAGTCACACCACATTAGTGCACCCGGCCCTGAAAGAAAATCCTTTCTGTGAGGATAGAGACATGATTCTTCAGAGCTGAAATGGAGCATCTCTCTAGAACAGAAGGAGACATAAAGGAAATCCGTAACGCAACGGGATGAAAAGAGAGACAAAAGAAAAAGTAAAGTAAGGGGAGAGGAAGAGGGACTTAGGACCGATGACAGGATACTGTCAGTTTGGATAATGGGATGGAAAGAAAAAATTCTGTTTACACATGGGGAGAGGTTCTTTTCCTGGCCAAAGCTCAACCTACATACATTCTCAAGCCATCTCTCATACGGTTCTTTTTTTTTTTTTTTTTTTTCACTATAGATAAGACTTTTATGGGTAGACTAGTATTCGCAAACAACATTATTACTCTGTGATTAAAATACAGGTTATTAATTCTTGAGGAAAGAAAGTATAAAAGCTCCAGAAACTTTCACCAGGACCACACGAGACGCTGAAGAAGGCAGGTGTCCTCAGAGCCTCGACTGCCAATCAGGTAATCCTCCCTGCGGTCGAGGCGTTTCTTTCAACATCTGTTTTCCTCTGCCGGCTAATAACGGGGCCAGAAATCACAAATTATAGCTTAAATGATGTTAGTCATGCTTTCTGTTCACTGTGTTGTTTGATGTGAATTACTTATTTTCTTTCCTTCCCTCATTGTAAAGAGAGAGCATTGACTTTGGTGTCAAACTGTTGGGTTAAATCGTGGCTCTACAGTCCCGCATCTGTGAAACTTGGGGAAGGTTACTCGATCTCAATGAATGTTGTGTCTTCGTCTGTAACATACGTTAATGAGACTGAACTGCAACCGAGTTATGAGAGTTGAGTGAGGTGCCATGTAGTCAATTCGTGACCATTCAGCGAGCATCAGCTCACCAAAAATTATTTATAGGCTCCTCAACAAGAGGCTGGCCCTTCCTTCTCCTCGTTGCTCAGCCTGGCAGAGAAGTTCTAACAATTTGCGTTTTGGAGGGGTTTCAGGACATTGAAAATATCCTCTTACCTATGGAAGGAAAATTCAGCAAAGGTGTGCAGGTTCATGAAATGACTTTGAAAAGGAGGGGGTGTGGGAAGGCGTCACAGCTCTGCACTCTCAACCCTTTGTCCCATACTCTGTTGATGCTGCCTTAAAGTGTCCGTAGATTTTCTAAGAAAGTCTTCATTTCAAATATTATATTGTTCCATTCTCTTTCAGCAATCTATTATTTGAGAGTTAGATCATGTATCCTGATTATTGGATCACCGAGTATGGTCAAATGAGAATTCAATAAATCAGAACCCAATTTCATACTTACACTAAAGTAAGGCCCAGACATATGAACATATAAAGGATTATGGATAAATATTTTACTCTTAAGTGACAAGGATAGCCATACATTCTGAGGTACTTTCCAAAAACCATAAGGGAAACCAAAAAATGACAATATAATTTTTGAAAATTTCAGAATGGCAAAAATATATAAACAAGAGAAAAATACAAACTGGGAAATACTATTAGTAACAGGTTAAAGACAATAAATATACCCCAAAAAAGTCTCACAGATAACTGAAAAAAAACACTGAAATTTTAAAAATGAGCAAAGCCGTAAACTGAAAATTCATGAGAGAAGTCCAAAAAACCAATCATTATAGGTAAAGATGTTCAACTTTATGTGTAATTTTAAAAGATTAAAAACCCTAAGGTTTTTAAGAAATATATACAAACATTAACAACAACAAAAATTGACAAACTCAAGTATTCATTGAGAGATTGGGAGACCAACATTCCTGACCCCTGTTAGAGAAATGTATAGAATAGCCAATTAGAGAACATTTTAGCAAAGAGTATCAAAATGATAATGTGCATGTTCTGTGATGCTGCAACCTTGCTTATGTGAATTTATACTAAAGAGAGACTCAAAACTGCATAAAAGTTGAGTGCAAGAAAATGTATCGAATCAATCTGTTTCTGAGAAACAAAACCAGGTTACAGAACTATATAAAAACGTACCCAGAGAGAGACAGACAGAACAATTTCTGTAGGCTAGTCACCAAATTATTTATCTCTGGGAGGTGGGCTTTACTTGTAATTTTCTAGTCTTGCACTGATCTTATCATGACTCATGTGTTGTTTGATAATGGGGAAAAAGATAACAAAGCCATTTTCTTTTTTTAAAAAGTAACATCTAAGTATAAAGAAAGAATGCTGAACTGAAGTCAGAGCTGCTTATAGCTGGTGACCATGAACAGAGGACTTCCTACCTATTGGCCTCTGGTCCTCTCATCTGTAAAATGTGGGTATTGGACCCTATGCTGATTTGAAATTCTAACATTAAAAATTCAGTGTTGGAACCTCTCTACTGGATTTTCTTGACTAGAAAGCCCACTACCATCTTATCTGTGAGAAAGCGTGCCGTGGACGCCCTCTGCTGGCTTCCCTGAAAATAGCAGGCCAGCTCTGAGCCATGTACAAATAAATGGCCTCCATTGAAGCAATGACACTGCTCAGCCCTTTGTAGGTAGCAGGACTTGCAGGTGAGAACAAAATCTCAAAAGTTAAATTTTTCTAATCTCTACATTTAACCTGAGATTCCCTTCATTGTAAAGTCTGGATTTAGCCAGAAAAAATATTGTATTCTTTTCCTCTATGTGTGCTTTGGCATCTAAATTCCCGGGCCCTTCTACCAGTGCAAATGTGTTCAGATTCACAGATCTGGGTGAATCCAGAAGTGTCAAAGACAAACTTGCAAGGACTCTGAGATCCTGGCAGTAGCAGTGTCCTCGGGGGAAGAGGAAGATGGCTTCCAAAAGCCTGCGTGTGCTCCTGCTGCTGAGTTGTGCGGCCAACTCTGAGGTCCTGGGTGGTGAGTACCCATCACGGTTGATGTTCACGCAGTGTGTGTGACAGTCGTCCACTTGCCCCCCAAAAAGTTTAGGCGATGCAGAAAACAGATATTAAAAACAGGAATGAAAAACAATGTGAATGTGGTAAAAAAGTTTAAGAGCTCTAGAAAAAAAGGGAAAGCTCAAATCTATAAGATTGTAAGCCATACTCAGACCATCAGTCAGGAGTGACTTAAAATATTAATTCTGCAGACTTCCTGTGAAGGGTAGCGATAATATGTCGAAAGCACCTGACACCTAGCAGACGGGCAGTAAGTCGGAGCTGTGATTGGAACTTCCCAGGGTTCGGGCACTGTTTTCCTATTTAGCCGTGTCGGGAACTGCAGTTTGCAAGAGACCTGCAACTCGTCGGAGAGACGGCTCTTACACGCTCATAGACCGCGCCAAGCGTCAGGCACAAAGTCTGCGTGTCAAAGGGTCGAGGGCGACGCCACAGAGTCCACGGGCGGGCGGGCGCGGGGAAGGCCACGTGAGCCAGCCCGCAGATGCCCGAAAGGGAGGGAAGGAAGCGCGGGCCCCTCTGGGGCGACTCCGCGGTGCCCCTTCGAGGACAACGAGGCGGAGGGCAGGGCAGGGACGCGCCCGAGCCAGAGCGCGGGGCCGGGGCCGCCGGGCGCGAGTCCGGGCGCCTTCCCGCTGCGGCAGGACTTGCCGGGCCTTGCGCCGGAGGGGCGGGCGCGACGGCCTGCGCGGCGCCCCTGCTGCCGCCCCGAGGGGTCCGCCCGTCGCCGGCT